GGGACTTTGCACTATGCAGCTAAGGCTTCCAGGGGTGATTGCTACAGCTCTGGGGTTTCTTGGAGACCAGATCCACAGTGTTCCAAAAAAATCACTGAGCTACGGCATATTCTTTCCCTGACCTTGTGCAGCACTACAGCACTCCTCCAATTCATGAGACTTGAGCTTGGACACACACACACACCTCCATGCCCTCCCCATTCCCATGCAACAGTCCTGCACTCTTTACTTGGGACTTCTCCACTTCCCATTTAACGTCCATGTGTTTATTTAACGTCCATGTGTTTGGAATTACAACAGCTAGCACTGGATTCCCATCACTAAGCACTTTACAACTGCACTGTTTAGCAACAGAAATTCCAGTCCCAATTGTGTTGGTAAGTTGAGGACTACCTGTACGTATTTGGAAAAAACAAATTTTTCAATTAAAACTGTTCTATTTTCTGTCCTTGTGATTTTTAGCTGCTTCAGTTTTTGTGATCTGATCAAACAATGTACCTAAAATAAGCCCATCAGTCTTTTTGAAATCATTCTTGTTACTATTAACATGTTAAAATTATATTAATATTTCAGAATTTGTTTCCCAATTTTTAGGCATATCTTCAGCAGGCCCAGGAATTGGTTATACTTGAAACAATAATGCTTCAAACTTTAGGTAAGCATAGTAAATGCATATGATTCTTACATTGTACTTCCAATAATAGAGTGCCTATTTGTTTAATATGTTTAAGAGGAGCCTTGGTAACACAAGCTATCTTTTAGATATATATTTATGTCTCTCCTTTCAGAATTATACTAGTACATTGTACATTTTTTTATTAGTTCAGAAAGTATCCAATACAATCAATGTATATTTTGTCACTTAATGAGGTTATTGAATAAAATTTAAAGATACGGTTATGAGAACATATAATATAGTTTGTGAAATAACACATTTAATTTTTCAGGTTTTGAGATTACCATTGAGCATCCACATACAGATGTTGTGAAATGTACGCAGTTAGTGAGAGGTCAGTAACTATTTAACTGATTCTTTTTTTCCATCTCACAAGGGAGATAATGATGGTGTAGCTTACTAAATTATTTGTGGAATATTATTCTTGTGAATAAAACATATTCAAATAAGTTTTGGTTTTCTTGGTTCAGTAAATGTGCTTAAAATTAAAGAATTATAAATTATAGGTGGTTTTTTTTCAATTTTAAAGTTACTAAACTCAAAATTGACAGCTAGTTCTGAAATAAGCATATTTAATCCAAAATAACATTTGAATACCAAAGTAAATTTACATATTGTGCTCATGTCCTGCATATCCGTCTTGGTATATCTAATAATTCTGGCAATCAGCTACTGGGGACTATATTTTTAGTCTTTAGTCCTTCGTAACATTCATATAATACCACAAGATAAGAAAATATGCTCCCAAACCCACTTTTTTTCACCTTGCTTGTTGCTACATAGAAAGTTTATTACTGGAATTGTTTGCAACTGTATATATTTGTTTTGCAGTGAATTTTATTTTCATTGTTTAGGGTTTTTTTTCTAATCAGTTCAATTAGTTTTAATAATGCCTGATTCAGTATTTCTCAACCTTGACAACCCGCTGGCTGTGGAATTCTGGCGGCTGAAGTCCACACATCTTAAGATTGTCAAGGATGAGAAATACTGATCTAATATGCATATAGGTTATTCCCCACCCCAGGTCAGAATCTTAGTATCAAAGGATTAAACATAAAGCAGTCACTTTAGTTGAAAAACTGTGATTTGCAATTTGGTATGCTGTATAAAATCAGCCAGTTAATCCATGGTTAATCCATCCACAAATGTATTAATTGCTCTAAATATTTGTATGTTTAAAAATATCCATTTCTAGAACTATCATGTTCATTCATTTGAATGTTAATCATTGTTAAGGAAAAAAGTAATGGTGTGATATGTCATCTTTCATTAATGTCTATCACACTCATATGTTCAAGTGATATCTGCATTAGAAGATTACAGCTTTGTGTAAATTAATGCTGGATTGTGGCAGCACTGATTTATAGTTGTTATTATTTTATAGTAGATGTTTTGCGAATATTTTGTTAGAGGTTGAAATAAGCACCTATCTTATTTTGATCTTTCTTATTTAAAAATACAATAAGAATTCACTGATGTTTCTAATATTGATTTTGGAAACATGTCTGAATTAGTTCAACTAAATGCCAAATCTTCCCTTAATTTGAATATAATGGTATAGTCAGTTGCAAGAAAACTCTTTAAAAAGCAGCTCATGTACTGATCACTTTAGGAGAATTTTGAGAGAGAAACAATAACAACTCCCTGCTTTTGTATATGGGGATTTATAAAAGCATTAAACCTGGTCTTATTTCAAAAGTAAACATAAGTTTAAAAAAAACTGTTCAGTTGTTTTTATTGAAGGGGAAAGGATGGTGCTTTTTTTCCCTTCGCTATTTTTTTATTTTATACATCCACAAAACAATCTTTAAACTTTTAAAAAAAAGGATAGTTCCAAAAAAGAAAAAAAAATCTAATGTATTCTTTATACTTATCAATAGTCACTGACTTTATGTTCACACTGATCCCCCTTCAGTAACATGATATTCTAAATCTTCTAATGCTGCCTAGCCAAGACTTTTATTGTGTTTACGTGCCACAAAAAGCATAACTTTCTATGGGGGGTTTCAAGTAAATATGAATACAAAATCTTTCACTGCACTAATATGAGCTGAGCATTGGTAGAATTCAGATTCTGAACATGGCTAATACACTTTTTTAATAATACAGTATGCCATGGAAAACCTTTAAACCATGGTGATTTCATTTTAATAACCCAGTAACAGCTCTCACTGAATTTAATGGGACATATTGCTAGATAATCATAGGGTTATCTACAGGTGTTCACTGCCCTTTTGCTCTTCTCTACAACCAAGCTTGGGCTTCAAATGCAGTTGATGGTATTCTAGCCATTCTCGTGGTATTCTGATTCCTTGTGACAGTTTTGGAATTAATGGAGGAGAATAACCGGAATAAAGAGTAGGATGGATACTGTGAAATGCTGCATATGTTGAGTGAAAGCTCAGTTTTAAATCTGAAACAGTCTGCTTTAATTATTCAGTCTTTTTAGTCTTTTGACCTTGAAATTCTTCCAAAAAGATCCATATAGGCTATTTTACCGCCCACCGGTAGAATTTGGTCATTTTTGAGGCAGTTTATAGTTTTCATAAGCAAATTGTGAGTATAATTTGTAGCACTTTGAAATGTACTTTTTACATACTTTTTGTTGAATGTCCTGTTTAAGAGAAAATTGAAAATTCATAATCAAATGTAACTAATTTCAGGGGACATTAGCAACCATTAACATTTCTTTTAATTATAAATACATGTATTTTATTTTATTTATTTGCCACCCATCTTACAATCACAAAACTTTTGAGTGGCTTACAATCTGATAAAATATAAAAGATTAAGAAAAGTAGCTAAAATAGGAGAGCCTTACAATGGAGTAGGGAGGTGAGAACTTGGATTTAATCTTATAACCACCTCCAGGAAAACACTTCCCATTTAGACTCCAGGCCAATTGGCAGAGCCAGATCTTAAGGTTCTTTCTTACAGAAGGCCAAAAGGATGGGTAGGGGCAGACCTCACTTTGAGGGGTACTATGTTGCTGTAGAAAAGTCTCCTCTTCTGGGCCTGTGTTAGCCAGAATTTCTTGAGCCAGTAAGGATCCAACTCCTGCAGAGTTAGCCTGTAATACTGCGTTCTAACCACTGCACCACCATGGCTCTTTAAAGCACCATGGTCTTAAATTCGTGTGATTTTCATATTGTAAAATTTCCAAACCTAGGTATAAAATATTGGCTATTTTCTTACATGGACATAAATGGTTTAAATCCAGATTATTGAAGAGCTATACTAAATTATCTTTCAAGTTTTAATATCTGATGCAGAGGCTCTCTTCTAGGCTTTTTAATCGGAAATATAAATCTCTTGAATTTTCTCAGTGACACATCAATTATTATTACTATTATTTCTGATCTATCCATAGCTTAAGATTTCTAGATTTGTAGAACATTCCCACCTTGTCTAAGGATTTTTTTTGTCCCTTATGATTGCTTAATACTTAGACATGAAGGTGTTTTTAATTCAACAAGCATTTAATTTCTTGAGTTAATGTCACTTTTCATGTTTATTTAATTTTCTCTGAAATGTTACCAATTACCCATTAAATGTTTTCAAGAAAAAGAATATGCAGGTAGTCCTTGACTTACGGCAGTTCATTTAGTGACTGTTTGAAGTTGCAACTGGGAAAAAGTGACATCATTTTTCACACTTACGACCATTGTAGAATCTCCAAAATCACATGATCAAGGCACTTGACAGCTGGTTCATATTTATGACAGTTGTTGTGTCTTAGGGTCACTTTGCGATCTTCTGACAAGCAAAGTCAGTGGGGAAGCCAATTAATAACCCTGTTACTAACTTAACAACTACAGTGACTCACTTGACAACTCTGGCAAGAAATGTCATAAAGAATTCACTTAACAGCTGTCTTAGCAACATAAATATTGTGCTCAATTGTGTTTGTGTAAGTCGAGGACTATCTGTAAAAGGTATATATAAAATATGCACTTAATTTTTAGTATATACAGAATTCATGAGAAACAAACAATTATGTTTGCATAACTAGTTATTCCATCAGTCCTTCCCTCCACCTGTTTGAGGCCTGCCCTGGTCACTCAAAACTCAGGCAATAGAGAAGGATCTTTAAAAAGGACGAAGTGCATTTTCATTGCCTAAATAGAAATCAAGTCTGTTAACAGCAACATCGTTATTGGTCCTTTTAAAAAAATTCTTTTTACATTAAATATAATTCAGAGTTAACACATTTGAAGTTAATAACATTAGAATACACTTCAGTTTGAATTTGAACTGGAACATCCCTAAATGTAGCCTTTTTGGGAGACTTTGCTGTAAAAAGAAGTAAGGCATTGAGAGATTAGCATGTATAATCCTGACTTTAATTTTACGTTGTATTCCAATATCCACTGAATGCACAAGGGCATTTTCCCCATCACTGGCAGAGAATTCCTTTGAAAGCAAAAGGGAATCTTCTGTTGAATGTACTGTTTGCATTTACTTCCTTATTGGCAGCACTTGTTCTGTGGATTGAATAATATAAGCAATTATATAATTGACATGTCAGCCTGAAATTATGCAAATATTTGTGGATTTACCAGAAACATGTAATTTGTCTTAGCCATAATGTGAGATAAGAGAATGTATTCTTTTGACCTCAGTTTTAAAGAAGCAATTAGTTTTCTTAATGGAGAGAGTGACAATATTGTGCAGTATTGAGTAATTATTTTTGCAAGTGGGAAGCTTTTGAGCATCACATACATGGCATTTTAATAATTAAATCCTTGTTACTGATGGCTAATTATTTTTCTTTCTTACAGCAAGCAAGGATTTGGCACAGACATCCTATTTCATGGCTACCAACAGGTTGTTATCCTGAACCTCTTTGTTGCACTGTTGTAGCACACTATAGCTTCCTTTACTGCAGGGCCCCCTACCTGTGTCTAACCCTTGTTGCAACAGGCGACTGGGCTGTCTACTGTGGTGGTACCTTCCTGTTTGCAGTGCGGTGTATTGTACAAGGGCCTAATGGCACAAAGGGGTTAAATGCACGATGTGAAGTGTAGTGGTGCTTTCTGGTGGCATTTTCTCGATTGTGAGTGCATAAGTCTAAAATTGGTAGCCTGAATAGCAGCTAAAGATTACAGAGAGATAAACTTAACCTAGAAATCCGAGCTTTTTGGTAAGTACAAAGATGTTTCTAGTTTACACTTGTAGTTAATGGCAATTTTTTTCTTAATAAAAATATCAGTTTGTTTTTTTTAAAAAAATGAAATTAAGGCATTAGTTAAAATACGTTCTTAGATACACTAGAACCAGCTTAAATATTTCCCATTGCAGAAGCTATCTGGTTCTGTAATGGAGTTATTGTCTTTTTTTTTTTAAGTCCTATTTACTACTTAACTGGTCAAATACTGTCCAGTGAGTCTTTAGACTTAAATCAAAATAAAATATAGCAGCGAAAAGCAACGTAATCTTGGTAAACATATTAGAAGAGAAAGGCAGAGCAAGCACAGCATAAAACACATAGTAATTCATTTGGTAATTTTGTGAGTAAAAGATTTTTAAGAATTGGGAAATACCATAGTTTAGTTTCTAACTTAGTGTTTCTGCCTTAAGACAATGAAAGAAGAAAACAAAACAGAACTAGAAGTGGATTAACATGTATGTAGCAGAAATTAAAATGGGATTAATGATTTCATCTGGAAAATTATAAGAAAAAACAACTTGCAGGAAAATGAGATATCCTGGGAACTTTGAATTCAATTAAGATATTAAACTTAATAAAAAGGAAAAAAGAATCCGCAAATTTCATTAAAGTAGTTGGGGTGAATGAAAGTGTGGCTCCAGTATTAAATGTCACCTGATTATCTTAAGAAGTTACAGTAGTTGTGTGGCTGAAAGGTGGAAAACCTTGGTGACTTCTCCAGAGCTATTTTTGGAGTGTTTGAAATGATAGATATTATTTAAAGAATAAGATTAACATTATTATATGTAAAAATGTATGAACAGAGGTATACACATAATTTGGACAAAAGAAATTAACGGGTTGATATATAGTTGCTATTTTAACCTTTTTCAAGGCTATTTTAGAATATAAAATTGGCATAAATTCATTGTTTCTTAAACAATAGCAATTAATACATTCTATATTTCCAGGCTGTATTTGAAGATAAAAATTCGGTTTTTCCTTCCTTGATAGCTTAGTTATTATCTCAGTGACTTTCAAAATAAAACATCAACAACGATGCAGTAAAATCTAGATGAGCTGATTTTTGAAAAAAATGTTATATGCATTAATATTTTGGCTTTTTTCAATATTAAGATGTATGTTTTAAATGTAAACAGAATATTTCCATGTGTTTAGCTCGAGAAGCATTAATATAAAATCCAAAATTTGAAACTTCAAAAAAAATTACTATCCATAACAATTGCCTTGAATATATGTTGACAAATTCTTTCCCCTTGTTTTTTGTCTTTTCCATGATTGACACTTATTCTTCTATTATGAAACATTCCCGACCACAGTCTGCACCTTACTACATTTTGTCTTCAGTACAAGCCAACTGTGATAGCATGTGTATGTATACATTTGGCTTGCAAGTGGTCTAACTGGGAAATCCCCGTATCAACGGATGGAAAACATTGGTGGGAATATGTAGATGCTTCTGTAACTTTAGAATTACTTGATGGTAAGTAATACCAATGTTCCTACATCCTTTTAAAATAATTAACTGCTTTGTGATACGCTGTGTTAATATTAAGTATATTAAGGTGATATTGGCTAATTTATACATTGTGTTTAGTTTCCTGAAGACTAAGGTATGATCTTTCAGAATGTAATGTGAGCCATCTTACTAGAGTTTAATTAAGAATGTTTGGGCTTCTTGTCCAATTGAGCTGTTGGCTTGTTCTTGTGCAGTGAAGTTTTCCATAACCATCTATGCTGTCTTCAGATTTCAGATTTCAGACCACAAACTTTCTGCAGAACATTTGGGAAGGGAGAGAAAATATTCTGCCAGATGATGTGATTGCATCAGTGGGATGATGGTATAGATACAGTTACAAAACTAAATGTAAAAAAACCCTATCTGTTCTGGGTTTAAATTATATGAAATACCAGATTCAGAACAAGCCTATTAGCCAAGCGAAGAGGTGCAGAAAATTTGAACTTTATGATAACCATAATCATCTAATGGTCATTTTTAAAGTTCAATGTTTAGTAGATGCAGATTTAGCAAGAGAGGAAGTAAGTCGTGGCCATCTGACTAAAAGTGTTTTGATATTCTGATTGAAAATAATGTGAGGAGAGTCAGTCTGGCTCGCTGTGTGTTTCATCTTTTGCTGACCCTTTCAGTTAGTTGCCACCTGCAGCACAAGAGGACATCCTAATAAAAAATATTAAATTAATTTTAGGCAATCCATTAAAATATAAATTCTCAGAACCATTCATCTAAGTTTAGCAAGTGGTAGTTCTATCAGTGCTAGTTAACTGTCAAATAGGCCATTTGGGGAGGAAAAGTTTTTTTGGGAGCTGGGGGTTGGTAAGGGTCTGTTTTCAAACGTAAGAAAATGAGTGTGTGAAATTTATTTCCTACCTACCTACCTACCTACCTACCTACCTACCTACCTACCTAAGAAATTGTAACAATATAAAAACAGTACAAATATTAGAAAAGAAACAAAGAAAATGAGGAAGAATAATGTATAAGTAAGAAAGAAAATCAGAAATAAAAAAAAAGTTGTTGTATGCTACCCAGAGTCACTTTTTGTGAGATGGGTGGCCATATAAATGTAACAAAAAACCCCTCTCTCGCTAAGGATACGTCATAATTTCATTCTTTCTATAAGCTATCCTTTTCTCTTTCTGTCTAATTAAATGAGTATCTGTCCTAATAGACAAGTTTTGCCTTCTTATTTATTCTACATTGATATATTTGGAACTTTTTCCTCTGGAATTATCAACTGCAGATTGTAATTCAACTTTTAAACAATGAATTGAACCTAGATGATAAGGAATTATATTATCCAGTCTTGTCTCTCCATGAATACAAAATGAATTCAGAAGCTAACAAATTTCTTTAAGACAGCATTTAGACTCGGGGGATGTAGACATTTTTCCATGAATATATAATTCAGTTTTTTCCATAGTCCTAGCACTAGTCAACATTCTTCATACATTGATAGATTTCAGAGGTTTAGGATATAATTTAACAGAATATTGACATTTTAACCATTAACTGCTTTTTATACAAAGTATATTTTGTATAAATATACAGAAGTATGAAGGCTATTGCTTAATGCATTGTAAGCCGCCCTGAGTCTTCGGAGAACGGCGGCATATAAATAAAAAACAAAAACAAAAAAACCCTGCTTTTGAAGAATCTGATTCACCGTATCAGTAATTCTTAACCAATATGGTATTTCAAGTTGTCAAGATCATAACACACATACCAAAGTTGGTTGTAATTTATTACACCTTTAGCATAAAAATAAGTTAATTTTCTTAAACAACGTTCCTAGACACTGTTGTGTTAGTATTGTGTACTAATGTTGCATATATGTTCTGTTTTGTTATATAGTACTTCCGAATTTTAATTTTCTGAAGGCTACAGAAATCTAAGTAATTTTTTTCTATAGTTTCTAGTATTTGAAAAAATATGTTGTGTAAAAATGAAGAATCTTGTTAATACAAAGCAAACAGTAAATGCAATGCTTATTACTGAGAGTACATTTTAGTAGTGATTGTATAAAAAGACATAATGTCCTGCTTCCCATATTGCATTAGGACATACCAGTAATTGGGTTCAAACATCAAACTATGATAAAACAAGTGATATTAGGCCTTAACATGGTGTGATCAATGTTTGAGCCATGAGGACTTGCAGCTCCACCTCCCAATATTTTGGGGAGGGGGGGGGCGCGGGAAATGGTGATGCTGTGATATTAATGGAAGGAGAATAGCCAACATTTTAGAAGCCTCTCAAAAATTACCCAAATTTTGCTTGAGGGAAAGCCCCACAAGATAAACAGGCTAACATTGCACCAGTGATATCTAATTTTGAAACCTTGGGATGCAGAAGGGAGGGCTAATATGCGTCACATGTTGTCCACTTTTCATATAGTATGTATTAGAAAAAATTGCCTTCCTTTCATTCTTTGCATTGTCATATGTAAACTTTTATGGGAGGAGATAACAGTTAACAGCAAGTCTTAAACATTAATTTGTGTATGCTTGCTTTGTATAGATAGAAACACTTTTCATCAATAATAAAATTGTCCTATTTTTTTCTTGAAAATTCACTTACATTAATTTTGCATCTATTTTCTTTCACAGAGCTAACACATGAATTTCTTCAGATACTGGAGAAAACTCCTAGTAGACTAAAGAGAATTCGAAATTGGAGGGTAAGAATCTCTCTTGGTAAAGACTGTTGTTGCTAATATGTTAATATATGGGCCTTGATGTTCTGCTTTAGCTTTCTTGAAGTATTCTGGACAAATCCTAAATAGAATCCAATGTTATATATTTTCCTTCACTTTCCTTTTTTCTATAATCGCCATATACCTTTTAAATTATCTGCTTGTTTGTTAAGAGACCTGCTGAGCAGATTTTGAGGGTCTGTCTTCTTCCCCCAGGGTTCCGTTCGATAATTGGAATCTGCTTCTATTTATAGATACATGGTATTCCCCCTTAAATTTTAAAGTGAACCTTGATGTTCTTAAAACTACTTGATTTTCTGGATAAATCTGTGTTAAATAAGTATGAAGCAAAAATGGCAATGAAATTAAATGATTTGTTGCTCTTCATTGGTGGAATATGGAATATAACTGGACCCCCTCCGACTGATGCGCTTTCAGGAAGTGTAGGCTAGACTGGTAATTTGAAGAAAACATCCTAAATGATGATAATGGCGAAGGACTCCATATTGCTATTAAACAAGATTATATGAAAATGTCCATGTAATCTAGCTCACCAGGAAGGAGAGTTTACTGTATAAGCAGATTTGTGCTCACACCAAAGTAAGAGGGCTGGCAAATGATACTTGGAAATTCTTTATTTTCATGCATCGTTGCTCCGACATTCCTCAGTTCTGGGAACCTTCACTCCTTCGATTTGTCACACTGAGTGCCTGTCAAATATTTATCTCCCTCTGCAGTATGGTTCCGCCCCCTCTTTCTGCGCATGCTCAGTGTTTTCCAAAATGCAGGACTTAGGATAGGGCCTGGGAAGCAGTATGAAAGATAGTGTGAGGAGGAATGGAATGGAATGGGAGAGAGTACAAATAATGTTTTCCAAATGTGGATCCTAGCCTCTCTGTTCATAGCATAGGTAATCATTATGCTTACGCATTCTACTCTCTTTGGGATCTGTGTAACCCCCATAGAACTTGAAACGTCCTTGGAGATTGTACAGTTGAGAATAGATACTGACTTACTCATATGTTCTTGCACAGGCTAATCAGCAGGCTGCTAAGAAACCTAAAGGAGATGGCCAGGCATCTGAAAACTCTCTTCTCGGCTCATCTTTGGTTCAGAATTCCATTTTGGTGGATGCTGTTGCTGGTGTATCTGCAAATGCAAGTTTCCAAAAACCATCAACGTCCACATTTCCTGCCCCAGTTCCTTTGAACTCAGGAAATATGTCTGTTCAAGATAGTCAAGATAATCTGGCAATATTAGCTGCAGGAATGCCAAGTACCTCATATAATTTGTCAACACACCAAGAATGGCCTCAGCACCAAGAACAAACGAGGACAGAGCAATTGTATTCTCAGAAACAGGAGACTTCGTTGCCAGGTGCTCAGTTCAACATCAACTATCCACCAAGCTCTTCGTTGCAGTTACATTCTGGATTGCATCATCGAGCCGACAAACTCTCTGAATACTCTATGGCCCACAAAGCAGGAAACAAACATGGGCAGATTGCCTCTGCACCTGCGATAATGCCTCAGAAAATGTCACTGGATAAATACAGAGAGAAACGTAAGCTGGAAACCCTAGAACTGGATATAAGAGAACACTACATGGGATCCGAGCCTCCCTATAAAAAACACACCCAACCCCAAACAGCAAACAGCAGTTCTGTAACTTCCCCTATTAAAATGAAAATTCCTATTGGGGGTGCAGAGAAACCTGAAAAATATATGCCAGACAAAAAAGACAAAAGTGGCTCGCTCAAACTGCGGATACCCATTCCTCCCACTGAAAAAAATGCCACTAAAGAAGATCTGAAAATGAAAATCAAAGTGTCTTCCTCAGAGAGGCATAGTTCTTCCGATGAAGGAAGTGGGAAAAGCAAGCACTCGAGTCCCCATGTTAGCAAGGAAAAGCACAAGGAACATTCCATGAACCGTCACCACGGTGGCAGTCACAAGCATAGTGGCAGCAGTAAACATGGTAGTGACGGATTAACCCCAGCTGTTCTGAGGAGTCCTGTTGGTTTGAGCTCCGATGGCAGTGTCTCTAGTTCCGGCTCTTCAAGAAAGAAGCTCTTCAGCAATGATGCTTCTCACAACCATCATTCCAAAATGAGCAAAAGTTCCAAAAGTTCAGGTAGTTCATCTAGTTCTTCCTCTGTTAAGCAGTATGTATCCTCTCTCAACTCTGTTTTTAACCTTCCCTTACCCCCTCCTCCCCATGTCACATACCAGGTGGGCTACGGACATCTCAGCACCCTCGTGAAACTGGACAAGAACCCAGTGGAGAACGGTCCTGATGCCAGTCACGAGTACAGTACAAACAGCCAGCATATGGACTACAAAGACACATTCGACATGCTGGATTCACTGTTAAGTGCCCAAGGAATGAATATGTAATCAGTTGTTTAGATTCCTTTTCCCTTTTTTTTAATTTAAGAATATTAGACAAAAATTCATCATCGTCTAAGAAGAGCAAATCCAGCAGCTGTTGTCCACTTTATATAGATATAGATAGATATATATATGTAATTTATACATATATATATATGTATATATATATAAGTGCTGCTTTATCTTTCACTCTGAAGAGATTAGTAAATGAGCCTGTCTCCACATATGATAGTGTTATAAATACTCTAATGATACAGAAGGTGCAAAATCACAGTATTTCCACAACCACAGTTAAGAACAGTAGATTAAATGGCTGCTTTTAGCTGTATGGAATGCCTCATGCATTATTTATAATTGACTATGCCAGCCACGGTTTTTGTTGCTTAGTGAATGAATGAGTGTAAATTTTTTTGTGTATTTATACTGTATGTATGATTTGCATGTTTCAAAGAAGGGATATGTAAAGTATACTGACAATGTTTACAACAAAAAGTGGAGAGATTGTACATACATTTTTGTATGTTTAGATATACCATAAATAACTCAGGATTGGAGCTGCTTGTAAGTATAACCAGTGTACCTAACTTTTTCCCTTGTGTCAGCATCGATAAGGAAGAAACCTCAGTGGCACTTCATGTTAAACGTTGGGCCTTATTTGGGAGCCACTTCCTGAACGCCATCCACTGCCTGGGGAATCATGTGCTGGTGGGAAGTGGATGAACAACCATGGCAGGATGACCCCAGCCACGCAATGTGAAAATGGCATGGGCCTCAATTTGTCATAAACCAATCGAGTGCTGAAATGTCAGTAACTTTCAGAAGGGGGAATGAAAATAAAAAAGTTTATATAATAATCTTTTGATGTGAAAGTGCATTTAAATGTTTGGCTTGATGCAGTAATAGACACACAGAGCTGTTAATAATGGTTATATAGATTAACGTGATTTAAGAGCTGAAATACATAAAATTTCTATAGTGACATTAGTAAGTTTTTTTTTTAAACTTAAGTTATTAGTGGACAGGGATCACTGTTTTCCATTAGCATTTCATACAGAATGCCACATTTTGAATTTAAAAGGTGTGCTATGTGAATAAAATGCCATTTTCTTTACAGGTGGAATACTATCTTTGCAATAAATAAGTACAATTATTGGTATACCAACTTCTCCCTTATCTCAGACAATAAAATAATTGTCACGTGTGCTACATGAATTGTACTTGTGATTGTAGTAATGAAAATGGAGGTTGTTTTTTCAGATCTGAATAATCACTCTCCAATTAAACCACTAGTATACATTTTTATGGCTGTGTCATATTACTGTTTTCATTCACCTGCCTTTTTTAAAATCAAATTACTGTTGTAAATGTTGATGAGTTCTTGTTCCAAGCTGATGTCCCATTTTTACCAGCTGTGACTCTTAAGTGCATGGAAATTACCTCAGCGTAAATTCAGTACAGTAGCAACTGTTACTTACTGGGTGTAAAATCTAAAAGATTTTGTTAAGTTATCCTCATATCTGAGAGGGATCCACTACTTGGTAAAATCAGTTGTTGCACAGTTTATGCTCTAATTGGTTACAGACATTTCAGAAAAAAGTCTGAAGTTTTAAGCCCTTTAGCGACATTAAAAGTGCTTTAGATAATTGTTGAGCATGTATCCAATTAGTGGTTACAAAATAATGTAACTACTGTTGCATCAATTACTATGTAATATTTAGTTGCCGGTAATGCAAAACTTTGTACTGCATACTTGAATACATTTATTTGAATTATGGGTGTCTTTTTAATACTTTAACATGGGCACTATGAATAATGTATCTTCAAATTTTAATCTCCTTAGCTCTTCAGTCTCTTTCATCCATACTTGTTACTTCTTCACCCTTGTAATTTTTATATTGAGAATATTTCTTAAACCCTGTATTGTGAAATTTGATCCTGCATTGTTGCATTTTAAGCCTTTTTAGACTTTCTTCACTACCTCATTTATGCTATGAAATCCTCAAGAGCTTTTGACATACAGTGTAAGAAAGATTAAATGTTTTAAACTGTGATTCCCAGTAGGAAGAAGACAAACCAGTAAATGTTTGTTTTAAATAAAATTTATTTACAAAGTCTCATAGTATTTGCTTCCCAGCTTGTAGCTTTGCCTTGGAATGCATTTTATCCATTACAATTTGAAGATATAATGGACACATGGCTATAGATCTAAATAAAAACAACCCCTGAATTTTATATTTGTTGAAATAATAGTTGAACTTCAATTTAGATACTTGGAGCCCAATCCTTTGTATTTCTCCACAAGTAACACATAGGATTGGGATTCAAGTCTGCTCTTTCTCCTCTGGTCTTTAAATTTACTATATACGGACTGGATTTTTTTTTACATTTTCATTTTCTTTCAAATTGGATTCTCTTTAAGATATAAACCTAATTGAAGAGCTGCAAATAAAGAATCCAAATTCTATGACGTTGATCAAACTCTTAACAGATCTGTAGAATTTTACTTAATATGTTCATATATAAGTACTTGCTTGAATACAAGAACTGTTCGTAGAAAATGGGTCCTACTGGGGAGGAAGAGGAAGGATTATTTTACTTCACTTGGAATGTACTTTTAGGTGGCACACTGGAATGTTTGCTTGAGGGGTTTATATAAATCTTCCCCTTTTTAGGCACACAAACTCACAGTAGATGTCTATTCCATGTAACTTTCAGTGCAGTTTATAGAGGTGTATGGAATTGTAATGGCTTAATTCTTTGATCTAGTTGCTTTTTCACTTTACAATTAATATCTAAAGTTACTGAATTTTATAATCAATTATTGTTTATAATATTATTAACTCCTATAGTTAAGAAATTTACTCTGGGGAAGAACGAATGCTCCCAAGAAAGATAAATATTGTTAAGTGCTAAAACATGTTGCATAACCTGATGGCTTAACTCCTGGACATTTGCTTTGGTAATAATGAAATTCAGTGTCTACTCTTGACCATGAAATTTGGAGAAAAATCACAAGGAAGAAGTGTTCGATCTCTTGCTGCTCTTTTCAATGGAGGAATTCTATTCATATTTTTAGATTCTAAACTTAATTTGAAATAATTTATCTGTGTAGTCAGTGTGTATATCCTGTTTAAAGCATGTCAGGCTCCCTAGGAGCTCATGCACTATTTAAAATTTAAAAATGTATAAAATGTATCTCTGAAAACCAACTTAACACTGAAGCTGCTAACTTAGCTCTAGCTTTTAACTTAAAATTACTTTTAATTTAGAAACTTACGGTATTTTCTTCTCATTCCAAATATGCCTTTAAGGAATCTATATTCCATTCAGAGAATAGGTAGACAAAGTCTGAAATAAAGAGGGAGGGTTTTTTGTATTTGTGCTGTAGAAACAACAAACAGCAAAGAGGAATTGGAGATGAAACTATTATGGAAGAGGAGTGAAGTTACAAGGAAATAGTCTAGGGTAATACGTCCAGGGATGGAACAATGCTTAGTAGCATATAGCAGCATCTGATTTAAATAACTAAAGTTCAGGGAATCTGAAAGAAATGGGGAGAAAATTAGACATTTTGTATTGTAACAAATTGTAACCATTAAACGGGTGTAAGAAATTTGAAATCTGAAAACGATGTTTTTTGCCAAAGGAAAATAAGATTTCATTCTGTGGAGGAAAAAAGCATAATCATTACGAAGCTCAGTCACAGGAGTATAGATACGCTGATTTTCACTATAATTGCAATGAACCTCAGCAGACCTTGTCAGTCATCAGAAGTGATAGCCCTATAAAGCCCAACCCTGAAAATACCACATTTCTATCTATTACTGTTTCATTCATTTTGACAAGGCTACTGTACTGAGCTTTGATTAACTCATACGTGCATGACTTTGATTCTTACATTTAAATATGGCTTTTTGAGGTGGCTTATATTTAAGCTTGAATAATTTATAGGCAGACTTCAAGTTACAAGTAGAACTGGGACTAGCACATCCATCGCTATGTGAGGGAATTAACAATACTAGCTTAAAATATTTACTTCAGAAAAAACTTATTTCCTTTCCAATTAGCTGCTATGATCTGGTCAATTCCAGAAGAATGCAATAAAAGAAGCTTTCAAATTTCTTAACTACCCATTAAAAGGAATCTGAGCAACTGGCATATGTGGATTTGGGAAGCATTTTAAATGTTTAACGTACAAAACTGCAAGACTCCAAATACATATCTTTTTAAAAATTATCAGAATTCACTGCCAGTTTCAAGTATGAAAGATAGAAGGCAGCCAACTAGTAATTTACTTCTAGATGAGGGTATATTTAGTACAAAAAAGCTAATGTGACATTAAGGGAAGTTCGATTTCTTATTCTGTGTAAATCTGCATGCTTTTCAATTACTGTCTTTCCACATAGGAAGCAATATAGGAAGGATACCAAATCCGCAGATGAGAATTTTTACTAGGTTCTTCTTTCCCAGATTACTGCAATTCATAAAGATTTCATTGTAAAGCTATGTTTGCTAAAAACAGTGAAGAAATGTTTTATAGAGCAGCAAGAAACAAGGTAGAGGACTGCTATGAACATAAATACATGTTCATGATGATAATGATGTAAATCTGAGTGAAATGGAGGAGGACAGGACAACTGCAGGATAGGATGACTCAGATGCGAAAAAGTTTACAACGGAAACCAAAAGATACATTAAAAAGGAGCTAAAGGTAGTGAGGAAACTTCTTCCATTTGCAAGCAGGTGGAAGAACGGGCATTTTATAGCATAATATTAAAAACAATTCTTAATCTAAATTCCAGTAAATACCATTTAAATTTATACTGTATATACTTGCAAATAAATCAAGTATTTTAGGATCCCAAATGCACTGAAAAATAATCAGTTTCAGCTTATCAGTGAATATATACCGTGTATACTTGCATATGTCCATTGGATACTAGATTTCCTTATTGATAGGCCCGAGTTTGTGCGAGTTGGGAGAAAAGCCTCCAACTCCCATCTCCTTGAGTACAGATTCCCCACAAGGCTGTGTCTTGAGTCCACTACTGTTCACCTTGATGACCCATGACTGCTGTGCCAAATCATCTACAAATCATATTGTGAAGTATGCGGATGACAGCAGTGGTGGGTCTTATCCAGGACTAAATGAAGGTGCTTATAGGGAAGATGCAAAGGCTCTGGTGGAGTGGTATAATAAAAGTAACCTGGTTCCAAATGTTAATAAAACAAAGGAGATCATCGTAGATTTTAGAAAGAGCTGGCATGATCGTATTCCACTCAGTCTCAAGGATGCAGCTATAGATGTGGTCAGCAGTATTAAGTATCTGGGGGTACAGATAATTTAACAATCTGGTCTCTCCGCACATCATCCTTAATGAAGTGTGCAAACCAGCGTCTGCATTTCTCCTGTCCTGGCTTTTTACAGAGGCACAATTGAGAGCATTTTAACAAACTGCATCACTGGTTTCGTGGCTGCAGTGCCTCAAAGTCCATTCAGAGCAGTAGTGGTTTTCACTTACCTTCGCTACCGGTTCAGAACTGAGCGTGCGTGTGCGCACTCGCTTTGTTCATGCACGGCACTTCTGCGCATGCACAGAACCTTAAGCGCAGAGCATCCGTGATGATGTCCGGGTGGATGGGCAGAGACTCCAGCCGCCCCCGCTACTGGTTCACCTGAACTGAGGCAAACCGGTAGAAACCCAACACTGATTCAGAGAGTGGTAAGGATAGCTGAGAAGATTATAGGAAGCTCGCTTCCTGTTATTCAGGATACTGCTTATAAGCGCTATGTGCCTAGAGCTCAAAGCATTGCTAGAAACCCCAAACACCCACTTCATGGTCTGTTTCTGTTGCTCCCCTCTGGGAAGAGGTTTCAAAGTATTTCTAGCAGGACTACCAGATTCTGTAACAGCTTTGTTCCCTATGCCATCCATCTGGTAAATTTGCAAACTTTGTTTTTCTCACCATGTACATGTATACAACTTAACTAGACTGTTGTTTCTCCATTTCATATAATATATGTGTGTATATGCATAATTTTGTGTTTATTTAATTGTCATTTGTCATGTTTATGTTGTGTATATTGGAGATGGAGACCATTTGAGAGCTGTATGCAACAAAATTTCATTTTAATGTATGCCGATTAATGTACATTCAAAGTGACAAAGTTACTTAATGTAACACTTAATGTACATTCAAAGTGACAAATGTACATTGCAGCCAAACATACCCTCAAATTACCAGCCAAAATACCATGAAAAATGCAGATCATGTTATCTGCAGGTGAGAGAAAGGGGGAGAAGGCGGGAGGGAGAATGAATCAAGAAACCGCAAATGAGCAGGTGGGTAGAGCTCCTTAAAAAGGCAGCTTAGACTAGCTCATGTCTCAGAATACCCTGAAATAGAATAGTTAAATGAACTTCACAATGCACAAAAAGTCTGTCTATATTTGAATGTTGTTTTAAAAAAATTTCAAATAGTTTTTGAACTTAGTTGGAACTACCTATCTGGATAAATATAGACATGAATAACAAGTTGCATCTATCTGTAATATTGCTTAACATATACAAATAGACACTACAATAGTGATCCAATGGTTAATATAAAAGGATTTATGTCTGAGGACATTGGCACTGGATTGTGGTTTAGCATTCTCACATTTACATGTAATATAATAGGTTTTGGAAAGTACTGTTGCTTAACCGAAATTTGAGATTATCAGGAATACTTTGTGTGCTGATCATTTACACTGGACTCTTCATTTTATGCCAGAATCTAAAGGGTTTGAGACAAGGGTGAATCAAACCGAATCGGTTGATCCGGTAGCAACCATGCTGGGTGGTTCAGTGATCCAGTAGTGATGACAGAGCAAAGCTCCGCCCACCCACCTGGGTGTCATTACTTCCTGGTTTTAACCAGGAAGTAATGTATTCTTTACCTTCTGTGCATGTGCACGGCACGTGCACTTCCGAACTGGTAAGGAAGGTAAGTAGATTTCATCCCTGGTTTGAGAATATTTTTGTTTTTGTCCAGGACTCTAGAAACATAGTCCTTTCCCTTTTAGCTTAGGGGTATAAATTGCTTCAAAAATTTATCTATCTCTAAGTGGCTCCACTGGAGGGGAAAGGCAAGAATATGAATTGTTTCAATAAAAAAAAGCCTGATAGGGATGTTTTGAACTTATGTACATGCATACACACACAAACACACTCACTTGCTAAATCCTGCTTCAGATGTTCATTTAGAAAAGGTAAAGATTTACTATTTCAGCAACTTTTACAAGTTTTATACCAACAGTTTCTCAATTTAGAAGACATTTTCCCACACAAAAGAATTTATATCTGCTTGATAGAAGCATTGCCAGGTTTCATGAGTTTCTTATTATGAAAGGGTGCTGCAACAATTCTAAGGCAGTAGGCCGCTCATGTTGGTCCCTGCATGAGGTGTTAAAAAAACAAATTAACAGTAAGGCAATAAAACCTTTGGTACAAACCATGTTACTCATTATTTTCTATCTGTTTAATAACTTCTTTAAAAGATGTACATCTGATTCTTAGAGCATGGTGCATTAATAAATGCTTTATCTATTCAAATCTAGCCAAAAAGATAGTGCTATGCTCTGAAAAAAATGCCAAAGTATTTGCATTGCCCCAAGTTCTATGTTTAAATAAAGTTCTATTGATCTTAAAGTTTTAAGATAATTATTATCCAGCATTTGAACTGAAGTTCATGCTCTTTGTTTCTCATCCTTTTTATATATATACAAATTTGTAAAGTAAAACTAATTTTAAGGAAAATTAAATTTTCTCAACAAAGTGATAACAAAGATGCCTATGTAGCTAAAAATCTTTAAATTTAATGCCATATGGCTAGCTGTCAAAACAAATAATTTATTCAGTTATGACTGAATGTTTTCTAGTATGTTTTCTATTGCCCAGCTACTCTGGTTCCTGGTGGTTATTTAAATGATAACTAAAGTTTTCATATTACAGCTGTTCCCTTATTTTCTTTTCAGATGGCTATGTATCAGAAGAATCTCTATGATATTGACATTTCATTAAAATGGTCTATACGGTAGCTGAGGTTACCATTGAAGAGAGTTTGGAAATTAATATGGTTGTAAGAAAAATGTTTTAAATCCTTTGCAACTTGTCATTCCAGTATTGGAAGACTCACCTCTCCCTGCGTAATCCTACACAAATCTTAAGGCCATCTTCAAAGGTTCCATAGGAATGGACCTTCTTAATAGTATTAGTTACCTGTCTAACCATAACTTGTTTCAAAACAGTTGTTCTCATAAGATAGGCAGGTAGACAAGTTTGTCTAGTCTTAAATGGAATATAGCAATAGCACTTAGACTTATATACCACTTAATGATGCTTTACAGTGCTAAGTGGTTTACAGAGTCAGCATATTGCCCCCAGCAATCTGGGTCCTCATTTGACTGACCTCGGAAGGATGGAAGGCTGAGTCAAACTTGAGCCGGTCAGGATCAAACTCCAAGCTGTGGGCGGAGTCAGCCTGCAATACTGCATTCTAACCATTGTGCCAACATGGCTCACAACATGGTAGTTTTCTGCTAAAAGGTAATTTATGGCAAGGAGATATTCCTTTGGTCCCTGAAGCTCTCACATGTCTAGAAATTTTAGGAGTTTTCTGGATCAACCTATGGACCCAAATAGGATTACAGGAAGAAAGGAGAAGGGAAATTTTCTGAGTTTCCAAAGGAAATCCATTTGCAATGCTGGAGGAAAACTAGGTTTTGGAAAATCAATTTGATACAGTGATGAAGGTGCTGGACTAGAAACCAGAAGACAACAAGTTGTAGATGTACTTTGAGCATGAAAGCTTACTGGGTTGGGGCCTTGGGGCCTCTCTCACACACAGAGATTTGTTGGGGGGAAATGGGAGGCAGGAGTATTAAGTATACATGTACAGAGGCGGAGGGGAGATAATTCTTTACATAGAATTGGGTGGGGGACCTATGGCCTTTCAACTGTCATTATACCCTGCAACAATTCTAGGTAGCACGTCCAATAGGATGGAACATGGGAAATTGCAGATCAATAATGTCTGAAGAGCCAAGGATCCCCGTATATTAAAGTAGTGGCATATTGCTGCCTATAAAAAGAGTTGAACTAACTACTTGACAGGTGCTTGAAGTACCCCAGAGGCTTTTGCAGAAGACAAATGACAAGCAAGCGAAGGATATATGAGCCTGCACTCATGTATAGAAGGAGCTTATCCTCAATTCTAACTGGAAAGGTCAGAAAAGATGAACATGTTATGTATATACCGTGAGTTTAATTGTGATTGAACTGTGATGTCTAAACTACTCTTTTATCTTTTTAAGGAGCTCAAACTGAATAAACCTGATTGTTAATTGTTTTAATGCGAAGAAAATGTCTAATTTTAGGTATACAATCACTTACCTTGTTAAGCATAGATGTACAAAATCAACTGCTTCATCTGAGCAATGTTTGGGTAGTGAAGGCATAAGTCCTTTGTGAACAGCTATATAAAACATGGCTGCTAGTTTATCCATGGCAGCCAATGGTGGCTTTCCAGTGGCCATCTCAAAAACAGTGCAGCCAATGCTCCAGATATCTGATTTCCTTCCATAGCCAGATTCGCTTATCACTTCTGGTGCCATCCAATATGGAGTGCCATGTACAGATTTCAATGGTTCACTGTGTGGATTAGTCAGACTCCCGCACGCTAAGCGCTTTGCACATCCAAAGTCTATAAGTTTGATTATGCCATTAGGCATAAGCATAACATTGTTTCCTTTAATATCTCTGTGGACCACACAGTTTTCATGTAAATATGCAACTCCTTGTACAATCTGCTTTGTATATTTACAAAATATCATTTCTGACAGTGGCCCAAAGCGATGAATAATATTGGAAATGGAACCACCAGGAACAAACTCCATGAAGATGCTTACTATGTTATCTTCTAAACTTGTTCCCAAGTACCCTACAATGTTGACGTTTGTTAGATTTTTCAAAATCTCAACTTCTTCTTGCAGTTTCTGGTATTCCTTTTTATTCCCAGCTTGGTCACATGCATTCAGTGCTACTTGTTTCACAGCTATTAATTGTCCTTGGCTTGTAAGTCCACAGTATACCTAAATATCAAACCAGATCATTTTGAAGTAGAACAAATAAACGATATACATTTTTGATTTTAATTCAGCTTAATCACTTCAGCACTAGAAGTCCAAATGCCCCTCTCCCTAAATATCAAGCAGCAGTTCAAGGAATCACGTAGGGAAATGCTAGATAGAAATTGGTCAAAATAGTAGTTTGTAGTTTTTACTCCTGAGTAGGAAGTTAGACTCAATGGCATCTTCCAATTCAGTCATTTTATGACACTATAATTGTACAATTCTATTATTTATTTCATTTCTATCTTGCCAAATCAAAGCCTCAAGGAAAGTTACAACTTATATGACACCCAAATCGAAAAAACCATTACAGCAATAATATTGATCCAATCTCTTAAATAATAAACAGTGTGACCCAATCCAAACTAACATTGGACTAGCCCAGGGGTCTGCAATCTTAAACACTCAAAGAGCCATTTGGACCCGTTTCCCACAGAAAAGAAAACACTGGGAGCTAATAATTGAACAATTGGTATGACTGGGAGGGCGTGGCCAACTCACATCACTCAGTCCCACCCACTCACATTACCCCCCCTGCCACGCCTACCCAGCGGGTCATTAGGACAGACAACCGGTTGTGAAATGATTTGCATGCCCAGCCCCACCTCATCCCACCCCTCCCCTCCCAGCCACCTCTTGCCAAACCCAGCCTCCGGTGTGTTGTTCACCCCTCCCTCCCTCCCTCTCCCTCTCCCTCTCCCTCTCCCTCTCCCTCTCTCTCTCTCTCTCTGTGTCTCTGTGATTCTGATTCTCAGGCACCTCATCTCTTCCTAGGTCTTGTGGGCGCTTCTTCCAGCCCTTGTTGGTGCTGGGCGCCCCTCGGTTGCTCAGGGACATGCACAACCTGCTCTCTGCCCCGAGACACTGGCCCGACCCATGCGGCTGATGCCAGGGGTAAGTGGGGCAGGGTTGCATTGTGGCTCCGAGTCATTATGGATTCCAGGAGGAGGAGGGGACCCTGTCTCCCTGATTGTGAAGTGTACTAAATTTCATTGTGCTGCACAAGGTGCTGTGAGAGCAGCGGGCAGGCTATGAAGGCAGCAATAGCAGCAGCGGCTGCTTCTCTCGGCAGCAGAGGGTTGAAAGGAGGGAGCCACAGCAGAGGGATAAATGAGCCACATGCAGCTCTGGACCTGCGGTTTGCTGACCCTGAACTAGGCAATGAGCCAGATGACTCATTCTGACAAACAATAACTCTGGGATTTGTTGGGATTCAGTTTGAGCTGATTTGACAGTCCCAAACACCAAAGACATTCATAGCATCTTCACAATGGACCAGAGTAAAGATCTATAGATATCATCAACATACTGATTACTTATCCCTTTCCCAGGGATTTCATGTTGGACATGAAAAAACATGGGGGAAGAGATAAAAAACGTGTGGGAGAAGGCCCCATCATGTATAGCAGATGCTACAGGCCTGGTCCCTCTTCTCCCATAATCACCAACCATAACTGCTCACTCAGAAAGAAAAATAACCACTTTAACATACTTCCTCCTATTTCCCAAGTCTTGAAGGAAGTGTAGTATGCATCTGACTGAGCCTGGGTCAAGTCATTTGTTGAGGACCATCTTGCAGTAAAAGTGGCAAAATGTGCATATTATTATTCAGACACATTGGCTTTCTATCTCTAGGGTGAATATACAATGGATATGTTCCTGTTGCATCTGTGGATAGAAAGGTGGCCCATTTAGGGTGACTCGGTCCTTATTGGGAAACCACACAGGGCCCCTGTGAGGAGTTTTCAAGGCATCTGTCAGATAAAGTCACTTGAAATCATACAGAGGTGGTCTCTCATACAGATTTAATAGGGTGATTGTGGTAAGATCTTGCTTGGTTAACTGAAAAGTATTTGAGCTTCTTAATACTGAGGAATGCAGCCGGTGTGCCATGCTGCCTCCTATGTTTTGGATCCATGTCTCACCTGGCTGATCAATGCTTCCTGGGAAGTGACATGTAGTTGGATCAGGGGTGAAATCCAGCAGGTTCTGACAGGTTCTGGAGAACCGGTAGCGGAAATTTTGATTAGTTTGGAGAACTGGCAAATACCACTTCTGGCTGGCCCCAGAGTGGGGTGGGAATGGAGATTTTGCAATATCCTTCCCCCAGGAGTGAGGATTTTGCAATATCCTTTCCCTGGAGTGGGGTGGAAATGGAGATTTTGCAGTATCCTTCTCCTGCCATGCCTACCAAGCCACACCATGCCCACCAAGCCATGCCCACAGAACCGGTAGTAAAAAAATTTGGATTTCACCACTGAGTTGGATCTATGCAGTCGTAGGTGCAGTTCCTCCTCTGAAAGAAGCCACAGTTTCCATTGTGTCTGAAACTTCTCTCCCAGGACCAATAACTTGGAAGAGTCCAATGCTAGCCCCATGATGAGACTAGATACTCAAGAAAAGCTGCCACTAGATAGCTGATACATTAGCAGTATCATGACTACTTTAGTTATAGCCTCTTGCAACTTCTCACCTTTGAAATAGGGCATCAAATCGAGCTATCACATATGGTCACACATACACTGTTGAAACACTTCTCTTCTCCCAACCAAGCTACACTAACACCTGCCAATATCATGTGTTACTCCATAATTAGGTTGCACAGAGATAAGATTTTATTACCTTGGACTTGGCAGTAAATAACAACCTGGAAAAACTTCCAGTTATTTCTACCTGTCCAGGATGGGCATAGACCAAGTCCCATCAAGCTGGCAGGACCAGGAGACATGCCTTTTTTGCTGTACTATCTGTCCTTTGGAACACCCTCTCACCTGAGATTAGGATGCTTGACTTTACTGGCCTTTTGGAGGGCCGTGAAGCCCTGGAGATGTTCCTGGGACTGGGATTCTGAGTGTGTAAAGGGTCCCATTTCCTGGTTACACTGATACTGTCAGATTATAGTTGTCTGTTGGCTGCTGTTTGTATTTCATTTCTTTCTGTAAGTGTTTTAATTGTCTTCTGATTGGGTTCAGGAATTGAGACCCAAGAGCTGGAATGTGAAACCAGTGTGTGACATTGTTCCTGTCTTGCCAAGGAATGGCCTCCTACCTTATCTCCCCATAATCACAGGTTTGAAATGAGCAGCTATATAAATTAAATTAAATTAAATTAAATTAAACAAACAAGCAAACAAACAAACACTTTGCTCATTCCAACTCCCATTGAAATCAGTTGTGGAGATCTTCTTCCTTAATAAGCTATGCATTTAAACATTTGTATATCTAGGATATTTAGTCAAAGGCTACTGTAGATTCCAAACAGAAGATGGACAAAACCAACTGAATTAATAACTAGTTGCCTTATATAGAGAAATCTGTTGAGAGAGATCTCTAATTTTAACAATATTCAGAAGCTTAATTTGATTCCAAGTTTATATCTCTGTGTCTTTTAAGTTTGTGCACCATTTTGAGAGATTCTGTCCAAAAGGAAATATTAAAATACTTAGAATACAGTACACAAAATGCAGTCAGACTCAATATAACTTACTGTGCCATATGCTCCTTTTCCAAGGATTTCACCTTTAGTCCACAAAATAGACTCTTGATTAATTAAGCTGTTTTCTGAAAATGCAGTTTCAGGTAAAAGTGGATTTCCTTCCTCATATCCCATGTAATCTGAACAAACATTCTGCAAATGATGGCAGAAAAACAGAATACTGCTAGAGGAACAATAGAAAATAAATACAGATGGTTTGTCAGTTGTTTTGAGAGTTATGTTTACATGATGTAAATTCTACACCACAATATCTGAAATTGGAAAGAATTTCTGCTTGTCATATCACAGCCCTGAGACTAAGACTGAAGTTGCTACTATTCAATTTAAAATTATTATTCAGAGACACATGGTTTTATATCTCTAGGATATAATGGATTAGCATTGTCAAAAATTTATTAAGTAAATTTCCTAATTTAATTTGATTGGGAGCCACCCAAAGTGGCTATATATATATTTTAAATAATAAAATAAAAGTAACTAAAATATAGTCTAAATAAAGAAAACGAACATCAGACGCTGAAGACAGCAAAGGATCATGATCTCCTTGTTCTGCTTAGTGTGTGAACAGATCAGGTTATCTGCTGGATTAGAAAAATAATATTAGTTTGATCCAACAAACAAATTCTTATGCTTTAACATTTTTAAATAGGGATCTAAGAGAATGAAGAGCCCATTTTGCTCAAAGAAAGAACAAATAAGAAAAATGTGGAAACTGAAGTACAGCAAATATTAGACTATCTATAATATTATAAATGTAGAATGCTATGGTGTTCACTTACCTTATTATTTTTAACTTTTGCTGTTCTCCAGTCTCCACTTTGTGCCTCCACATTTATGTTTCTGGTCATTGAGCTAGAATTGTTGCCATCTGTCCCACTCAGAGAAAGCAGTTCAGTGACTGAGCAACCGAATATGTCTTCTGTTACTTCCTTATAATCTTTGTACTCAAAGATATTTGTATATGACTGAAAGGCTGAGTTTGCAAGATAGTAAGTCCATGCAGTTGTCATATTTGCTACACTGATATTTTCAAGCTGGGTATTTTCTAGAGGTGGTGAGCTTATTTGGTCTGTAAAAAAGGATGCGGACAGCTTTTGATTATACTCATAGTGTAAAATCTGGCTTGTTTCCTGCTCCACAAGGCAATCAGCTGTTTTGTTTTGTCCATCCCTTAAAGTCCTACTGTTGTTTGCATTATTTGGTTCATTTGTATTTTTCACACAGCTTAAGAAAGGAGCATATTCTGCATGAACTTTAACTTCCGGCCAAAGTAACTCCTGAGCATTGGTGGCAAATGCTTTCTTAGGAAAAGCATCATCTTCATCGCCATCATCGTAATCATCTGATGTATATTCCAAAGAGGCTTCTTCAATTGGTGACAAGCCTGAATTAGGACATACTTTCTTTTGCTTAGCAAGTTCAGGAAACTCAATGGAAATCTGAGCTTGCTGATCGGTATCTTCACAAATTGATTCAGTGTTCTCTTTTGGCTGAATCTGCAGATCAGCAGAAGAGGCAGTCACATCTTTGCCTTGTTCTACACCGCAACCTGTTAACTTGGACACCTTTTTTGAAGCAACTTCCTTCTCCTTCAATTTTGGTTTAATATTAACGTTCTTGTGAGATTTAGAGTATGTTTTCTTCTGGGGACTTTTTATTCTGCTACTCTTCTCCCCATTGAAACAGTTGGATTTATATTTCATATCATTATGCCATCCAGTTGGAGCAGAACACACATTCCTGTTACTCTTATTCTCACCACACCCATCAGGCTTACGGGAGTATACTGGAGTCCCAAACATTTCATAAATGCCAGGACCTTTGTCGTTAGAATGTATTTCCTTGAACATGTCACTGTATTTCAGATTCAAATGGTCTACTGGGGATTGTTCTTGTCCAACAGGCAATGGAGAGATTGTTTTTCTCAAACTAACAGAATTTGGGGAAATACAGGGAAGCACTTGCTTTGTAGAACTCTGACCATTATGCTGGAAGCATTTTTTCTCCTGTTGGAGATTATTTTTCTGAAGTTTTGAAGATATCTTAGTCTCTTCATGAGACAATCCTAAAGAATGAGAAATAGGATTTTTTATCTTATTTTGATGCTGAATGGAACTCTTGCCCCAGATCATTAAATTCTGAGCCATTTTGGTACACAGTTTAGTTTTTAAAAGACATCTGTTGCTATTTCCTTTATATCTGCCAGTCTTCCTGTGAGCAAAAATATTGAAGCTTTGGTTTATGTTAGACAGCATGCTCTTTCTTTGGGACAAGCATAATCTTGCTTTCAGCAGCTTCAGATTCAATTACATTTTCTATTCAAACCATCTGTTGGGCAAACAGTAGTATCAGATGATTCAAGACCAACTAAGATATTAAGTCATTAAAGCATGATTTTTGTTAGCTTTGCTTACAACAGCACTTCCAAATCCAGCCTTTTTTACACTTTTGTTGTGATGTTTTCACCTCTGATGATTCTGCTTTGCTTAATCTAATTTAGGGATACTCTTGGTAAATCTTTTTCCTGCACACTTAGACTTAAAAATATATTTGTCTTGAAGGATTAACATTCTGATTCTTTTGTTTCAGGAAATATTTCACTTGGGCTCTGACAACTATCAGAACAATCAAAATCACAACTACTGTTTATATTAGCTATATTCTCAGAGATCACTAGTATTTTGTGGGTTGCACAATTGGTAGATAGAGCAATAGCAATAGCACTTAGACTTAATACCACTTCATAGTGCTTTTACAGCCCTCTCTAAGCTGTTTACAGTCAGCCTATTGCCCTCAACAATGTGGGCCCTCATTTTACCCACCTCGGAAGGATGGAAGGCTGAGTCAACCTTGAGCTGGTGAGATTTGAATTGCCAAACTGCAGCTAGCAATCAGCTGAGGTAGCCCACAGACTGCACTCTAACCACTGTGCCTGTTGCATTTCGACTGGAATTCAATTTCTTGGGCTGTGGAGTAGCCATAGACTATGCAATATTATTCTGAGTAATACACAGAGAAGCTTCCAGATGTATTACTCAGGGTGTGATAAACAGACTGTTAAGGTACCCCTGCCACTGACCATCTGCCTGGAGGTCAAATTTCTTGAATGGTGAATGAGAGTTCAGAATATGTGAAAGATCATTAGCATCATTGTATTTTTAGTGTTCTTTCTTACTGGAGGAAGTTGTATTGCTTTGATAGGTTGTCAAAAAGTTTCTGTAAGTTGCAGAAAATAATAGAAAACTGTTATTAATATTTTACTCAAGAAATCTCCTACATGAATTAAATATAATATTTAAATATAATAAAAACAGCATTTACTTTACTTTTTAAAAGTTACAATGGGAAGAACAACTCACAATAAAAGCATCCATTTATCAGCCAGGTCCCATTCTGTGCCTAAAATGTATAGAATCCAGGCTTAGTGAAATAAAAAGGTACAAAACTGGTATATGTAATACATTAACTGTTTTAGTTTAAACCACTTAAAAGCTAAGCGAACGCAAAATGGAATGCAAAGAATTATTAGGACACAAAATTATTCTATAGAGGCCAAGACTACCATTTGTAGAATTCCCAAAAAGCATGGACAGTGGAATTCTGGGAATTGTGAGCCAGTTGGGTGATTTTGGGCCATTCATTCATTCTCAGTCCAACACACCTCACAGGATTGTTGCTGTGGGGAAAATAGGTGGAGGAAATAGTATCAGGGATGTTTGTCCCCCTTAAGTTATTTATAAAAATAATAAAAGCTGGGTAAAAATAAATAAAAAATGGAGATACAAAAGAATGAATAAAATGGGCTTCCAAACAATGGGGCATTCCTTTTATATTGTGTATGTCAGCTGAGATTTTATAAAAAAGATTCCAGTGGCAAGCTCACTCATCTCAAGATGCTGTTTGTCTCCTTTTTGCTATTTACAACATCCATATTCGAGTAATAGGTGGAAATAGTAGAAAGTATATTTCTTAATTATAACTCATCCTACCAGTTAAGAAGCAGTCCAATGCAAATTTTCATCTAGCAAGGGAGATCAAAATATTCCAAATTGCACTTACTTATAAGTTTATAACATCACCAACAAATATAGTTTTAGGTATTAATAACAAAACTAATAAACATCATTTTAGCAGAATCCATAGACCTGTTGTATCACAAATACAATGGATGAATTAAAACTATGTACCGTAGTTCAAATACTGTAGATCAATGTAGTTGCAGTAATAGTAAATTTTATATTAAAGCAGCTTTTTTGTTGACATGTCCTATGGTATACAATCTGTTGCATTTATTTACTGGGAAGAAAAATTAAGATGTTCTATTGAAATTCTATTTTACCTTCAATTTGATTCTAGAAAGGAAGAAACATGATTGTAGAGCTGCTAAGTTCTGAAGATCCTCTCAGCACAAATCCTTCTGATATTGAGAGTTAGATTCTGACTGTTTAGTTTACAAGCTGTCACCAAGGTAACTCTCTTTTGGGTATTTTGTACAGTGAATGACTGAACAAAGAGGCTTAGCTGGGCTGGGCAAGCAAATGAGAAATCTAGATCTTAGATTAACAAGCTTGAGGTTTGCAGCAAAATTCTAAGAATATACATCACACATAAAATGCATTATCTCACTTATTCTTTAGGTAACCATGAGAAGATGAATGCTTTCTGGAAAGTTGATAAAAATAAATGCTCTTTCTTTGCAAAAACAAATCTTAAATTATCTGTTAGACATGTTTGCTGATTGAATATTGGCAGGCTTCTGGCTTCATCTTTTGAAATTTGAAAAAAATATGACAACATCTTACCACTTCAACAGAAATGAGTTGAACATGTAGTCGTCTTCTCCCTTTTTTGTTTCTCTAGGTTTTACCATTCAGAACCTTGGCTCTGTTTACTCTATAATCCACCCCATTTCTAAGAGATCAGTAAAGAGGGTGTGCATAAGTGCACCAGCGTGCCTACCGTCCCTGTCCTACTGTTCCCATTTATTTGTGTTCATGTCCCTGTCCTACTGTCCTCATTTCCTGTGTTCATGTCCATGTTTATACTTATACCTGTTATCTTGTACATGGTTGACAAAATAAATAAAATAAAATCTCCAAGGTCTAGGTTTAAGTAATACCAGTACTTACTCTGACATTGCTAAGATCTTAGTTTTCACAACCATAGTACATAAACTCAGTCCTATGATCTTTATTTTTGATGAATATTATTTAACCACTTTAATTCTATTCTCTGTTAACTTTTGTTTTAATTGCATCCCATGAGTCAGAATCCTCTCTGAAATGTTTCCTGTAAACCGTCTTGAGTCACCATGTGTGAACAGGCGGCAATATAAATTTCCTAAAATAAATAAAATAAAATAAATAAAAGTGAATGACCCTGCCATTCAATATCTGGATTGGGCAACTCAAATGTGGGCTGGATTGATAATAAGCAGATAGATGTAGCTGGTTTCTGTGTTTTGTTTGTTTGTGTGTGTGTGTAGGAGGGACAGACAGACAGACACAGACAAAGCATGGCTTTTATTTACCTATCTGTTGCTCAGAAATAATTGAAACGAACCTTAAAAGGAAACCTATCTTCTACGTATTGAATTTGTGTACTGTACTTACAAGAAGAGACCCACTTCTTCTAAGTACGGTACTGAGTTGGCACAGAGAAAAACAAACGCCCCAAGGCCTAGACCAGGGGTCGGCAACCTTAAAACACTCAAAGAGCCATTTGGACCCGTTTCCCACAGAAAAAAAAACACCGGGAGCCACAAAACCCTTCCCTGCCTGCCTATTTCTTGAGCGGCCACAAAACTAGCATATGTAATTGAATTAAACTTTGTTTTCTTCTGAAACTTTTCTTGGATTTATTCATGGTTGGCCTACTGGAGGGTTGAAAAACTCGATAAATCACATGCTGGTGAGTGTCGCACACTGGCGGTTGTGACACATATTTTTGAGTGACAGGGTGCCGCAGCAGACAGGTGAAAGAGCCACATGCTGCTCCAGAGCCGCAGGTTGCTGACCCCTTAATGTAAATGAAGCGGGCTCTGATAGATGACCACTGGATAACTTTCTATTCACTCTATTCTAAAGGCAGAAAATGCATCCGATTGGAAAAATTACAAACTCAGCCAAAATCCTTTTGATACTTTTAGGAGGCCTCTAAGTTGTCAGAAGAAAGGAACATTCTAATGACATACAGCTTAAAGGTTGGTTAGGTCAAGGGTATCCACATGAGCTATAAGTCGTTTATCAACAGAAGATAATTTGAATCTATGCTCCAGTAATTTACAGAAGAATTATGATTGTTTGGCAAGGGTAATATAAAACTTAGTAATTAGGAAATGTCAATTAAATATAACAAATGTATATGACCATATAAACTGCTGAGTTAACAGAATCCTTTGTCTTAGAAGTGTATAAAACCATTGTAACAGAGTTCTCTCTTTGTTCAAAGCTTCAGGTATAAAACTGGCTCTGAACCTATTGCGCAATACACTATCTCTGACTAACCTAGGAATGTTGCTTTGGTCTCATCATTCCACATGGCCTAGTCTCTTTTGCCTCAGCATCAGGGTCTACCCCTCTTTCACCATACAGAAGTTCCTAGGATGATTTAAAGCCAGCCACGTATTCTTTGAGGTGCAGAGGAAACGATGTACCCCATCTTTATTTCCCACAGGATAACAGCTGGAGCGCTTTCTTTTTTTCTCTTGCCCTCTCAGTTTCCCCCAATCGACTTGCTCATCACGTTTGCGACAATAAACTAACATCAGGACCAATGGAGCTTGACTCCCTGACCACATTCCTACAGTTTTTCCTGACAACACAAGACGGACCGCCAGGGACTAATTCCACAAGCCTCTTCATCCCAAGTCTAAACAGAAACACCCCCACCGCACACACACGCAATACGGCGACCCAGCAACAAAAGGAGGGGGGGGGGGAAATCTCCTCAGACTCTCCGGGCCTCAGGGAGAGATCCCCCCCCGATTCTTGCCCCCATCCCCGCGCCGCTGTGCCACGTGCCGCGCCGCGCGCCGCCTTGTCTCCCTCCCATCATGCCCTTCGGGATGCTGCTTCTCAAGATGGCGGCCGACAGTGAGGTTCGTTCGTCGGTTGAAACCCCCTCCCCCACCCCCTTCCCTCATTCCCCTTTCGGGCTAAGCGGGAAAGTGGCGCCGCGGCGCCGGTGCTCTTTAACCCTCTTCTTTCTCCGCTCGGTGCCTCACTTGCTCACTTGCCTTCTTTTCTTTCCTTTTTTTTTTTCCACAGCCGGAGTCCGAAGTGTTCGAGATCACGGATTTCACCACCGCCTCCGAATGGGAGAGGTAGGTGCCTCACCTTTCCGCGTTGTCTCTTTTCCCCCCTTCTTAACCTGCGCTGGCATCGATGCAGTCAATGTTTAGGGATCCCCCTTGTTGCCCCGGGTCTTTCGTCTGGCTTCTGTTTTTGTATTTTATTTTATTTTTGTATCTGGGATTGCTTCGCCGGATGCAAATGTAAACGGGTAATTTACGAGAAAGAGTTTGTTGGGAGTGTTGCATTGCCGACAGTGGTTGGTCACATTGGGGGGGAGGACTCGTAAGGACAGCATTTGTGAGGAAAATATAGGTAGGACATTGTAAGTATTGGGGAGTGCATACTTACTTACCAGCTGAGTGAACCCAGGTTGTTCCATGGAAGGCCCCTTTTTGATAGCGTCTCTGGTATTTAAGAGATACCTATATAAATATCTTCCGTAGATTGATTATACCGTTATTTACTTAACATTGGACAGGTGAAAAAGTTTCCAGTCTTATGTTGCTTGCTATTACTTGGCAACTCAGGTATAGTAAGGATATTATTTGTGCTGGGTGAATGATTGAGTTCACAAAAGATACTGAAGACAAATATAACAAAATATTTGAAAAGCATGTAGAATAAATGCTGATACAGTGCCTGTAATATAAAGTTGCTCCGGGTAGTTATTTACTTCTTTATTTATATTTTAATTAGGTTGCCAAACTTGTCAACAAGTTTGGGTAGTACATAGAATGAAAAATAAAAGTATAGAGCAGTGGTCTTCATCACAGGCTGTATCAACTTCCAGGGTCCTTACTACGTTTCTAGGGTAGCTGCAGTAAGTTTTTGAGAGAGCGATCGAAACTTAATTGCCAGGCATATGATATTTGTGTCATAATTCACATTCTCAATACTGATTCATTGTCTGCATAGAATTAATCATTTTTGTTAGCTCCTCCGGAGAGAGGCGGCATATAAATTTAATAAATAAATAAAATAAATACTTTGTTTTTATTCAACACAGTTTAAATTAATAAGAGGGCTAGCTTGATTTAATGGATAAAACATTTGGCTAGAAATTGGGAGACTGTGAGTTCTAGTCCTGCCTTAGGCAGAAAGTGACTGGGCTAGTCACTTTCTCTCAATTCTAGAAAGGAGGCAAGGGCAAACTATTTCTTTTAAAAAAAAGACTTGACAAGAAAACTGCTAGAATAGGACACAGTTGAACAGAATTTAAAAATGGTTTGAATAGAAAAGTGCATTTTTTCCCCAGCTAACAGTGATGCTAAGAGGAGTCACAAAGAGAAATGAGTCTCAAAGGGTGCCCTGAATAAAAAAAGGTTGCTGTTGAGCAGTGAGGAAACTAGCATTAGGGTTGTTTGATTCTCTGAAGGTGGAAGGCTGCTGTTTCATTAGATCAGCGTTGTGACAGAGTATTATTCCCTTTCTGGGTTCTATCAGGTTCCTTGTTGAAGGGATGTGACTCAGAATATACAGAATATATCAACTGTCTGAAATTACAGGGTGCAAATATGAATTATCTTTATTAATTACAAAAGTGTTATTAATAGTTTCTATTTAAGAACCTATTTCAACATTTATGTAAGGATGCTCTGAAATTATGCTATATTAAGCAGAAATATATCTAGGTATGACTAATGAGTTAAGTAATTTTTATATTTCAGCTACTATCCATATTTATTAGAAATAGTTATCTGTTAATTCTGAGTATGCTTTCTTAGAAGTAAATTCCATTGCATTCAATAGAACATATTTTCTACAATATTTATAGGAAAATTAATCAAGTTGGCATTTCAGTGCAATAGTATTTTGTATGCGCTATTGCTGTGTGTTTTTTCAGTATATTTGTTTTTGTTCAAAGCAAAGATGAGGAATAGCGTGTTATGACTTCAAGCTGTATTAATTCTCTCCATCAGATCAAGCTGTGATCTTTAGCAAATGTTATTAGACAGTGATCAAGTAGATGAAATTGAGTCTTATTGTTCCAAATGAATCAGAGGAGACAGTAGCTACGCAACTTGCAAAACAATCGACCCGTCAGTTTGGCTAAACTGAATTTAAAAAAATCTGTTTTTGATTAATTCATATCATTATTAGGATCTGATTCACCATTTCAAAATGCAGATAGTCCTCAATTTAAAGCCCTTCATTTAAT